GAATTATCAATGTACATCCCGCACACTTCCACCAGGGAAGCAAAGACACTCCTCCTACACATTACTTTGTTTTTTAATCTTCCAAATGTTGTAGGATGCTTATTACCTTAATAAGTGGAAAATCATTGAATACCGTGCATATTCCCCCCACAGCTAAAACTGACATCTCATAGGAATTAGTGAGGAAATGCAGTTTTATTCATCTGTTAAGATATGTTATCTCTCACCTCTTTGTCATCTAAGGGATGCCTAAGACCATTAAAGAAATGTAACCTGCACTGCTAAGGCATTTTATTAAGGAAAAAACAATTCAGGATGACCTTGGTAGTCTGTTCAGTGAAAATTTCCCTCCCCTGAGAAAACTCCAGTAGTGTTCTTGAAATGCAGGGGAAAAGAACAAAATGGTTTTTGATACAGTGACCATACATCCCGGTTTACCCCTCACAGTCCCAATTTATACCTGTTGTCCTGGCATAGTTATTAATCACTACCCTTCCCTCTCAAAAGATCCTGGTTTGGACAGAAAATTGCATGTTTACCCTAGTTTTAGGACATTTCTTATATGACCGTGCCCCTGCCTCTACTGTCCAGGACAGTTACAGTTCCCATTCATGCCTTTCAGGCGGAACCCTTGGTTCTATAAAGGAAGAATGACAAAAAAGGTGGGCCGGCCCATGCACCTTCGGAAGTTATAAAATTCATTAATGTGTCTCCCACTCTTGAATTGTTTGTGTTCTCACCTCCTTTCTCTCTGTTTTGTACATTACCTTCTTCAGCATACTGCTTGCTTATATAAAATGTCAAGCAGTGCCACTATAAGAATGTTTTCATATATAGAAGCAGTTCAATGCTTCTCAGTGCTTGACTGTGTGAAAACAAAGTGTGGTATATTTTCTTCTTTTCAGTTAAGAGGAACTTAAGGTCATGCTACTCACTGACATGGGACTATCAGATTGAGAAATACCTCAAATTACAAACATTTCTGAAACACTTACTATGCATTTGGCATTCTCTCGTAAAAACTGACCTTGTCCCAGATTCGAAGAATTCAGTCTAGTAAAGGAGAAGACCATGTAGAGCAATAATGACCTCCATGTGGCAGTGTACTACTAACAGTCTGGGAAGGTGCCGGAGGAGGACAGGGCGAGATTAAATCTGCACCTGAGAGTGAGGACGTTTTTATAGAAGAGATGACAGAGTAGGGATGTGCAAACCCAGCTTTGGGGGAGGAAGAAGTGAAAGCATCAGTCTGTATGAGGGAACCTGTGTCAGTTTTGTTTTAGGGCAATAGGTGCCATTGTATTGGCCAACATGCCCTGTCAACGAAATATCACTGCTTCTCTTAAACTCTGCTTTCCATAGATGAAGATCATGTGTTCTTTTTTCTGACGAATGTGAATTGACAGTTCACCATTCTTAGAACAGCTGTAATCTTCCAATTTGTTGATTTATCTTCAACTATAGTTTTGAAAGACAGTCATAGAGCTCTCTCTCTGGCCTCTCCCCTGCAAAATAGACTTATTTCCTTTAGTGTGCTCTCAGAGGTCTGATTTTACTTTTTAAAAACAATCACCCTTCTCTTTTCCTCTTCTGAGCCTCCTTTGGTGTACGGCTCCAGCCCACATACCTGTATATGTTGTACACGAGTAGCATTGCAGTGCATGCAGTACAAAGGTCTGGCTAGGCATACAGTCCCCAAATATCATACTTATTTACTTGTACCTCAGTGTCATGCTGAAAATAAATAAAGCACTGAGAATATGCAGTTGAATGAGAGTAACACTTCATTCCAACCTTATAGCTACTGTGTTCTCATCACCCTCTAGTCTGTGATTCTCCTCCCTCTGGTACATCCTTCCTGCCTCCTGGTTACACTAATTCCTGTAAGCTCTGTCTTCTATCTTCTTCTGTCTACATTTTCTTCCATGATAGTCTTGCTCCATTGACTTTAAGTTTCCCCTCTGTATAATTGCCATCTACATCCAGATTATCTCTTTGGGTGCCTTATGTAATCACCTCCATCCCTGACTTTCCTCTAGTCTTTAACTCCCATGGTCTTCTCTTCCTTACCCACTCTGCAGGTAAGCCCCATGGACTCTAGTGCCATCATGTTTCTAGCCCCGGTTTCCCCTCCCTGCTTACCATGATACAGTTCTCTAATGATATAGTCACCCGCCAAGCCACGCCCATCTACAGGCCAGCTTGCACACTTGATGTCAGTTTACGTCTTCTAAAGCACATAACTGCGTCACTGAGACTCCCTCTCCAATGATAAATTCATGTCTCAGTCAAACTGGTTCCCTGCCACCTTTTAGCTCCACGTCCCTCCGTCCTCCTTTACGAGGCCGATGCTCGCATGGAGAGGCAGTATCAAGCTCTGAAGTTAGAACATCTGAATTTGAATTCTGGTTATGTCCCTGCTGGCTCTGTGATCATGGGGTGATCATTTAACTTCTCTGTGCCCCATTTTCCTCACCTATAAAATGGGGATAATAATCGGGCCCACTACAGAGGACCACTGTAAGGATTATGAAATGCTCAGAGCAGTGGGTAGCATACAGTGAGGGTGCACTAAGTGTAAGCCGTTATTAGACTCTGCCTGTGTTTCTTACGCACAACCTGTATTTTTATACCCCAGTTCCTTTCTCAGGCTTTATTTTGTTTTCAGAATGTTCTCCTCCATTTCCATCTCTGTGTTCACATCCCACACATTTTATATTCATGTGCCCCCCACTCTTCCATGTAGCTTTCAGGCAAACTCCTAATACGGAAAATATCTTTCCAATTTCCATAGCCTCTCCTCTGCACCTAACAGTATTTAGCCCTTTCCACCTTGTATTAAAAGTACGTGTGTATGTATCTTGGCTCGGAGAAGATAGGGGGATACAGGAATGATTTATGAATTTTTGCATTTTCCTAAGTGCCTAGCCAAGTTAATACTGATACTGTATTTGTTGAATAAGTGAATGAATATTCCACTTGTTCATTTACCTTTTCCCTGATACGCAAGTGCAATACAATTTTAGAACTTTGCCCAAATGAGCGTCTTCTCTTTGCTTGGTTATTTGTTTTCCCTCTGTCCTAACCCACCCTTCCTCTTCTCTTTTCTGTCCTTTTTCCCCTTCTCTGACCCTCCCCCCCTTTCCTGTCACACCTCCCCTCCCATGCCCCTCTCGCCTCTTCCCCCTTTTTTTTCTTCTCTTCTTCCTCCTCCTCACCCTTTAATTCTGGATTCCGCTTTATAAAACTTTCTCCACAAACTCATAGCCAAGCGCCATGGGCACAAAAGGCTACTGTTTGAAGAGAGAAATATTTGCTGATCTTTTTTTTTTTTTTTGGTTACTTTTCTTTTTCAAAAAAAAGTGAGCATGTAATATCCAGTCATAATGCTATTTACTCGTCTTAGCTACTGAGAGGAAGGAATTGTTAAATAGCAAAAATAAGCCCAATTTTTAGACAACAAGAAGTCATCTCATAAGAACTTTTTAATTACATGTTCTGATTGTTGCAGTGTGTTTTGAGTATAGTTTGTCTTTCTGCAAAAGGGAAACAATTGCAGGGTTAGTGTCTTGAGATTTTGTGTGTGTGTGTGAAGTAAAACAGAATGTTACACTGTTTCAGGTGTGCAGTAGAGTGATTTGACAGGTCTGTATGTTTTGCTCTGCTCACCACAAGTGTAGCTAGCATCTGTCACCAGATAACACTATTATAATACCATTGACTATATTCCCTCTGCTCTACCTTTTATTCTGCTGACTTATTCATTCCATAACTGGAAGCTTGTATCTCCCACTCCCTGTCACCCCTTTTATTCCATCCCCCCAGCTCTCTTCCTTCTGGGAATGACCAGTTCTCTGTATTTATGGGTCTGTTTCTGCTTTCTGTTTGTTTGTTTTTTTTTATTTGTTTTTTAGATTCTGCATGAAAGTGAAATCATATGGTATTTGTCTCTCTCTGTGTGACTTATTTCATTTAGCATAATACCCTCTAGACCCATCCATGCTGTCACAGATGGCAAGATCTCATCCATTTTTATGCCTGAGTAACATTTCATTGTATGCATACACCACATCTTCTTTATCCATTCATCTATTAGTGGACACTTGGGTTGCTTCCATATCTTGGCTATTGTAAAATAACACTGCAATAAACATAGGGGTGCATGTATCTTTTCGAATTAGTGTTTTTGTTTTCTTTGCATAAATACCAGTAGTGGAATAACTGGATCACATGTTACTTGTATTTTTTAATCTTTTGAGGAACCTCAATACTATTTTCCACAGTGGCTGTACCAATTTACATTGGTTTTTTTTTAAAGAATTTGATCAAAGGTCTCCAAGAGTAAATTCTTAAGTATTTTTTTGTCCATTTGGTGTTTAGGTTTTCCTTATTCTGCTAATTTCTTCCCCCTCTTCTCATTTGCAATGTCATTTTAACTTATAATACTTTCCTCCAACATCTTATCTGTCGTCTTCTCTTGATCAGTACCTTTCTCCTAAATCTGAAAACCACCTAAAACATCATATCATGTTGTTTTCCATTTCCACAAGTCTTGAAATGTCTCCTGTCTTGTTGGAGGAATGTTTTTATGATTTCTGTTAAAGATACTAATACTAACCATCTAAATCACATTTCTAATTGTGAGCCTGCACAAAACCAATGTATCTACTTGTATTAGTGAATATAAAATAGATCAAATATGCTATTATGTCTATATTGGATTGAGGGATGTAAAGTTAACAAGATTGAATGGTAGTTTGGGAAGTCAAACTTGAATTCTTATTTTATAATTATCATCTGAAACAACACGTAAAGTTTAATAATTTTAAAACCTCTTTGCTTCTGCCTTCTTTCCTGAGCCATAGTAAGTTAATGCTTAGGACTGGACAAAACATGTAATTCTGTGGAATCCTCAAAAACAACACCATGTACACAGCATTATGAGATTATCATTTGTGGTAAATGGGTTCTCAAAACTGGTATTTTTCTCCCTAATTTAGGGTAGAAATTTAGCATCTGGAGAGGTTGGATTTTTTCCAAGTGATGCTGTCAAGCCTTGCCCATGTGTAAGTATGAGTATTTTCTTTCCATTTTTTCCTGGTTTTGATGCTGTAATTAATTGTGTAAGAATGTATATAGGATATGGTCTTGTCACTCAATAATTTTATTAATATTTTCTGGGGGGATCATATTATTTCAAGTTTGAATATATGGTCAATGTTATTACAGTTCTAAAATCCTCATGATTCCATTGTCAGAAAATATTTTTTTAATTGACATATGCAAGGACAAAATCCAACTTAGTAGGTACATTTACAAAAATAAATTGTCTACACGGTGTTAGAAGGAATAAATCAAAGCTGTAGATTAGATGCATTTTCCCCTTTTCCAATGAAGGTGAGAATGGTAGGCTCTAATCTATTCCTAGTCATTTTGGGTTATAGAGAGATGTTATGCTTCCACTAGTGTGTTTGAAAGCATAATAGCATGAAGTCCACAAAATCTTCAATCAAATCTCTAAATACATTTTTCTGGGCTTTAGTTTATCGTTACTGTTTATTTAATGTCGTAATGGCATTTTCTGAAAACATCAAACACATTAGATAGATACAAGGAGAATGAATGAGCATTTACTCAAACATTATTATGGATGAATATAACATAAAATGTGCTTTCTGGTGTTTTATTAGATTTATAAATTTCTGTTTAAGGTGACATTTTTTCGTAAGTTGATGTTTAGGGTTGATTTTTCTATGAAACTTTTGAAGTTCTTTGATTTGAAGTAAATGAAATTCCTTTACTAATATAATGGAGTTGATGGTTAAAAAAAAAAAAAAACTCCTTAAATTATCTTGCTTGCTATATTTCAGTCCTTCCTAGATTTACAAACTGGACATCCTTTTTAATATTATAAATGCCTGCCGTCCTTGATTTCAGAACGTTGTCTGTAGATTAATTTACTGTACACATCCCAGCTTCATTAATTTCAAAAGCAAAGGGAATCAAAAAGAATTTGCTCTTTATTGGTTCTGTGATCTAATGTCACATGTTCTTATCTAATAATCTTAGAAAATTGTTGAACTTTGATACCACTCTAATTATGTAAGCAAAATGAATTTTTAGTTAGTTTTCTGTTATTTGTATGAACAAGATTCAAGCTTCCTGTGCTTAAAACAATGATATTTATATGTAGGCAGGAAGCAGGAGATTATACATTCTAATATTAAGATGTGTGGGAAACAAAAGACATCAAATCAAGAATATTAAACATTTCATATATCAAGTTCTGTTATCTTTTTACAGCCTCTTGAAGTTTTTTAGTATATGTGCTGCCGAAGCGAGCACTCTTGAAGTTTTATTTTAGGAAAATTCTGGCACATGGCAGGTATTTGATACACTTTGTTGTGTGAATGAACAAAGGGGTGAAAAAGCAAGCGAAAGTTCCTAGCTGAACCTACGTAATTAACAATAGTAGATACTAATTATATCAGCTTATAGTGAATGATATTTGGTGACTCAGTTACTAGAAGGAAAAACATGTTCAGAATTTTAAGCTGGTAAGGAGTTAAAGGATTTAAAAATAATTATGGGTAGGAATACTAAATATGATTGTTTTATAGTGCAAAGTTAATAAATAGTTATTAAAATTTTGGTGCTTAATAAAATTATAGATTCATTTGTTGGTTTAGGAAAAGTTAAGTAGGTGGAGAGATTGGCGGGGAGGATGTGTTGAAGGAGTTTGGAAGATGGTATCTTTTGACCCTGGGACATACTGTTTATCAGGGGTCCATGAGTAGTACGGAATATTCCATTCTGAGCTCAAAGGCTATTCTCCGGTATATGCTGTGCCAGTCTCTTCAAAAGTTCTGAGGTATACAGATAGAAAGTTAGAACTGTGGAAAATGCAAGAGGAATATAAATGAGACCATTTCGTTCCTGGTAATATGGTAACTGGGGACAAAGCCTGGAGCTACAGCACAGTGCAAACTTGGGTAACGCTTTGTGATTCCCGAAGTCCTCAGTGGGTGAGCAAGAAGAAAACAGTTCCACAGAAGATATGTCTATCTTCATCTTGGATCTGGGTTGGGAAGAAAAAAAAAAAGCAGTCTCCCATAAGAATTCCTAACTTTAGATCCAAAAACCGCCCAGGCGTGGGGCTGAAATTCATACCAGCTCTGTGACTGAAATAATTCTAAGCTAGAAACAGTTTAAAATGATTCCACATTGATTGTGTTTCCAGTACAAATACAGATTGTCTCTGGATTGGAGCCTCATTGCACACAGTCCTTAAAGGCTTTCTACAGATAAAGTCCTAGGGAGTATCAGTTCACAATATGGGATCATCACATTCAGGATTAAACAAACCATCTTAAGCAAAGTTCAGCAGAAAAAATAAAATTCAAAATTAGATACACAAAGACAGCAGATATTGTAATTATCAGGTACCGAGGTCAAATTTTTATATCTAATATGGTTGAAGAAATAAAAAAGAATAAAAGTCTAAGAAGAGAACAAGCCACTCTCCAAATTTCTTGGATATATTTCACAAAGCATCAGGCAGAATAAGTGAAGTGAAAACCTTAATGGAAGCATTAAATGACATATTAGACACAGTTGGGTAGAAAATTGGTAGACAAATCTGAAGAAACTTCTCAGTGAGTAGTCCAGAGAGATTAGGAAATGGAAGTCTAACAGAGAATGGAGTGATAAAGTTCAAATGCATGTTATTGAAGGAGAGAATAGAGATAGTGTGGAAAAGCAATTTTCAAATAAATAATGGCAGAGAATTTTCTGGAACTTATGGTAAAACTAATCTGAAGAGTCAAGAAGAGTATATGAAATTAATCAACACCCACACACATTTTAGTTCATTTCAATGGCAGAACATTAAAAACAAGGAGAAAATATTAAAACCGACCTTAAGGAGAATACGGATTACCTATAAAGAGTTGATGATTTGACTCATAGCTAACAACAGCAATAATGGAGGCAACAAAAGTTTTCACTTCTGGTAGTTGTCAAGTAGCCCCTATTGGATCAAGCTTCCCACAGAAAACAACTACAAGCTCTGGGCGAGATATTAAGGCAATAACAAAAACAATCTGAAGGCACTGGCTAAGAGAAGAGTTGACACTGGGTAAAAGGGGATGACGCTAGGTTAGTTTCCTGGTTTTGTGGCTGGATTGAGGACAGATACTGGGCTGCACCATGCAGGGTAGCTAAAGTTCAGATAGAAACTTCACAGTGTCACTAGCTTGAAGAAGCAGAATGTGGAGTTGGAAGGAAACACAAAGTGGAAAGGGAGGCAGGAAATCTTAGAAAGGAAGGTGTCAGAGAGGGAGGAACCTCAAGTTCTGTGTATAAACTTTGCCTCAAGTTTGGCTGCATGGTGTAGACTTTGTCCCAAAGTGGCTCAGTTTAGGCTCAAAGAACGAAACTGAGAATTCATCTGCCTCTCCCCATAGGGGAGATAGTTTGCAGTTGGAGTTCCACCAAGTTAACTGCCTACTTTAAGAAAAATCACACTCTTTCTAGAAGCATCACAGAATTCAGAGCTTCTACTTCTACAGCATATTATTCAAATTGTCCAAGATACTATCCAAAACTACTCAATATGTAAAGAAGGAGGAAAACACAAACTATTCTTAAAAGAAAAAGCAATCAAAGGAGAACAACCCTGAGAGGTCCCAAATGATGTAATAAGCAGGGAAAGATTTTTAAAGTAGCTATTATAGCTATGCTCAAGGACATAAAGGAAAGTATATTCATAATGAATGCACAGGAAACTTCAACAGAGAAATAGTAACTATTAAAAAGAACCAAATGGAGATTCCATAGTGTGAAGCTTTAATATTTCAAGCAATAAGAATGATATGTTCAAAGCTTTGAAAGGAAATTAGTCAACTTACAAATCTATCTTTCCTCTGTAGGGATGAAGTAATGACACTTCTAGCCAAACAAACACCGCAAACTTACCTCTAACTGTTCCCTCTAACTCGTATAAGATGTACTTCAGGAAGAAGCACATATCTTATATATATTATTTTCCATGCATGCTCTATACCCAGTAAAATATTTTTTAAAACTATATGAGTACAGCCAAAGTTTAACAATGTAAACAGCCTGTGATGAAGGTAGAAAAAGGCATTAGGGAGAAATGATCAAAGTTGAGAATATATTCAAAGATAGGAAAGTATCCAGAAGAAAAGTATCTATTTTGTTATATAAGGGCCCAAAAAAGAAGTGGGGAGGGCCCATGACAGATGGAGAAAGATAAGATCCCACCCTCAGTATAGGGATCAGTGCTGAGAAGATAGTCCTGGTACTTGACACATCAGAATATATTCACCAAAGAGTGAGAAAGCTCTAAAAGGACATCGGGCTGAAACAAACTGGGATTTTGGTTCTGCTTTAGAATGTTCTGTCACCCTTCATTTTTGTGGATCTTCAGCTTTCCCAAGCCAAAGGAATCCATAGAATATGTTGAAGTTCTTGTTCCTTCTCTGTCCCATCTTTGTTTTGTTGTGTTGTGTTTGCTTTTTTTGTTTTGGCTCTGTAGGGAGAAGGGTGGATTTAAGCCTGCATTTAGAGAATACGAAGAGGGAGAGGGAAGGAGGAAATATTTTTCCATCAGATTTCAGAAGCCATGTATATTTTCTAAAGAGAAATCATTGAAGATTGATTACTATTTGTGAAAACAAAATGGTATAAGAAAATATTTGCAGGATTTGAATGGGTGTAATGTGCTCTACATATTATTTTCTGTGTATCAGGATTTTACATGGTGGTGAAATTAAATGTGTGATCCATAGGATAAAAATATTTAAATACTAATAACTTTGGAGATGCTCTGACCAGAAAGATAATTTTGTTATATATAACTATTAACCTGGAAGGTCAAAATAGTAACAGCCCATTATGAAAACTGACAGAGCTAAGAGATATATTTACATTGATCAGAGCTCTATTACAAATTAAGGGTAACAGAGATTCATGAAAAATTTCTAAATACAAAACAAACTATCCGTACTCCTTGTCTTTTCTTAGGAATTTATAAACTTTGTTCCCCTCTAATAGTATGTATTTGGTTATTCTTGGACTATTAGTGTACCTTCTTTGGCTTTGTCCATCTTCTAGTTATAATCAGCAACTAGAAGTTTTCTTCTTCTTCTTTCTTTATTTGCATAGCAAATGTAACATTTTTCTCTTTTGCAAAGCTCCATAGGAGAAAAGGGAAAAATGAATATTTCCCATGACTTTTCATCAATAAAAAGTTTGCCAGTTGGTAGACTTCAAAATCAGAGGCTAGAATTTGTGATACAAAATAAGAGTCTGTAGCCAGTATATATTGTTTGTTTTGCCTGTTTTCTGGGAAAGCAAAGTGCTATTTGGTTTTCCTAACATTTTCATTTTAATTTTCTGTGATAGGATTAAACTGCCTTGATAATAAATACCAAAAGCTTCCAATCCATATTTTTCCTGTTATCTCTCCTCTTGGAGGTACAGTGGTGGTAAAATGAATGAAAGAATGAATTAAAGTGAAATGAATTATTTTCTACTTATCTGACATACGCTATGATTCACTCTGTATAAAATTGCCAATGGATAGTTCCAGGACTGTGCTATTTAGGGTTTTATAGAGCCAAGTCAGCTAAACTGAATTAATGGTTGATTCCTAAAAGCTTTCCTTAAGTAAACTTAATCTATTTTTTGGCTTTTTATATCCTAGGTGCCCAAACCAGTAGATTATTCTTGCCAACCCTGGTAAGTATTAAAAATGTTTATGTCGCTAAGTTGAAATACCATAACCTTAGCTCCAGGGTGCCTTAAATGTGGGGATAGTAAACCACCTTCCATTTCTATTTATCCTGGCTAAATTTGTTTTCAAATACGACCGTAATGAACTTATATATCGCTGACCTTTCCATAACTTCTTCAGTGTGTGTGTGTGTGTGTGTGTGTGTGTGTGTGTGTGTGTGTGTATGCATGCACTTGACTGTAAATTCAAAGTTTATAACAGCCACAGAAAGGAATGGGACATAGGCAAATATGTATCTTATATTTTGGAAGAGTAAATTTCATGAAACAGAGAAAAAAAATATATGATTATGTTGTCTAAAACTAAAAATTAGCCCAGGAAGGATAGTAGATCCTAAACTGTAATATGAGAGGAGCAAGATGTATCCATGTCTAACATTTTGGGTCTACATGGAGCCCATTTACCACTTAGAGGCTAGCATTACCACTAATAGAAACAAGGAAGCAAAGGGGGTAGTGATTATTACTTTTTAGACATGATGAGTTTAAGGGAAAGTGATATCTTCAACTGGAAAAAATCTATTTAGGATCCAGGATAGTTATCATCATCATATGGTAATAACTAATATATACCAAGCACTTACTATGTGCCTAGTATTTTACATGTTTTATTTCATTTTGTTTTCCAACATCTCTATGAGGAAGGTTGTTATTATCTTTACAGATGAGCAAACAAAGGTTAAGGCCATGCAAGTAGTAAGTACTGGAACCAGGATTCCAAGTTATGCCATCTGTACATTACCATATTGACTCTCAAAGTACAAAACGTGGGCTTATTTACTTATTTGTTTCCCTGAATTTTATGTTTGGCTCCTTTTAAAATGACTGCATCTGTTTTATTTTCTGGATATGAAGTATATATGCATACAAATTAGATATCAGTATATGTATATAAGGGAGATATTCTGAGAGTATATAGTACTAGTTCAGTTTGCAGGTGTTGATAGAACACCTGAGCTGATATTTTTTAAGCGTTCTTGGGGTGCCTGGGTGGCTCAGTTGGTTTAAGCATCTGCCTTTGGCTCAGGTCATGATTCCAGGGTCCGGGGATCAAGTCCGGCATCGGGCTCCTTGTTCAGTGGGGAATTTGCTTCTCCCTCTCCCTCTGCCTGCTGCACCCCTTCCTGTGCGCTCTTTCTCTCTCTCTCTGACAAATAAATAAATAAAATCTTTAAAAATTTTTAAATTTAAATTTTTTAAAATTTTAAAAAATAAAGTATTATTTTCTATTATATAACCAAAGCATAGAAAATGCCCAGTTGTTATAGGACAACACTGTCCAAAATATGGAACTCTTCCCATCAGTCCTCTTGCTCTCTGCAACCATCACGTCTGCCCTCAGTAGCTATTACCCGCTTTCTCTGACCTCCCTGAGCTTACTAAAGAAATTATAGCAGGCTTTGATAGAACTGGGAAGCTTTGCTACATTTTTACTTAGTTTAAGATGAATTTGAGGTCAGAACCACATGGAATTAAAAATCATGATCCTGACAGGAATTAAATTTGGAGAATAGAGCTGATAGCATGGATAATCAAAGAGAACAACACCAGGAGCTGATAAAATCACAGGAGTGTGGTGATTAGCTTCCTTCTCTTTTCTTTTAGCATTTTGCTCATAACTAGGCATAATAGTTATAAGGGTAATGATTTTAGAGATAAATACTAATGCCACAAACTACATGGATTTTATGAAATAAACGTATAAGATACCTGGGAACCATTCAGGGCACAGGAGATTAGTTTTAAAACACTTTGTTTTAAGATGCACCCTTGTAGATATGTAAAATTCTATTGAAAATATGATTTAGAATAGTATTGTTCCTAATGATAAAAAAAAAAGGTGTTTGGATAAGGGAAGAGTCTTGAAGATAGGAACAAATAAAGATGTTTCATAGTAAAATTTTTAAATTACTTTTTTTCTTTTTCTTGAGCAACTTAGCTTATTCACACTAAACAGACATTTCATGGGAAATGCTTTCTGCTAGGGGACAAAATGGTCAAGTAGATCAGAAATGGAAACTTCAATTTTGGAAATACTACACTGTTTAGAGAAAATGATGCTGAATGATGACATGTGATTCTCAAGTCATCGAGAAGTTGGATATCCACCAACTGCATTGTCTATTCATTACATCTCCATTTAAAAACAAGTTATTCTCACTAGGTAAACTTTGTCTCTTGAGTAGAATCAAGGTGATTATCTTCACTTGCCTGGGTATAGAAATCTAGGTGAGAAATTATTTTGCATCTTGGATTTTAAGGCGTTGCTCTATTGTCTTCTAACTTCCCCAACTCAATGCCATTCTGCTTGCTTGCTTGCTTGCTTCCTTCCTTCC